CGACTCGAAATTTGGTTACAATGAAATCAATCCACTTTTCTTTTTTTTAGCGAATCAAACGGTAATCTTATTAATACCGCACACATTAAAGGCCCAGCAAATGCACCGAAATTCTTTTCGGTTATTTTGGCTAATCGCTCGATTCTAATTAGATTGAGTACTCCACTAAATTGACCATCTGCTGCGTTTTTTGTGTAGCCTTCAATGTGGGTTCTATCGGCGGTTCTAGGATTTGATTAATTAATTTCGTGCTATTTGATGGATTCGGGGAAGAAATGTACAACAAAATGCGCTTACCTCGATGAATAACATTGTTTGGTTAGTCTGGGAAATTGTAGCGTCTGTCGATAGATAAGTATCCGACGAATGGTCATAAATGTTGTGTGTGACTTGCGATCAGGAAATCGAAGCAAACCAGGTGAATTTGCTGTGGAGAGAAAGAAAAAAGAAAAAATATAAAAAAGATTCCGAAAGTGTCGACCAAATAAACAAATGGACACAAGTAGTCTGTCTGACATCGATGACTATTTTTTGTGTAGAATGTATTAGAATATTTGTTTGAAAATAGAGCAAAAAATACACTACTTAAGACCGTCTAACTGAACGCACAATCAATTTGAACTGTTGCGAGTGTGGTTTTTGCCCAAAACTATAACCAAAACAAAAAAAAGTATACGAAACTTCAAACTTGAACTGAGACCCACCGAGGTAAAGGTGTATTCACATGACAGCAGTAGTGTCAACTGTCACAATGCAATGGTAAATATTATCGGTATGATATTTCAGGTTACTTAAGCATTTCGAACCAATAAACGCTGTGATTTGGCATAAATTGATCTAATTCCAATTAATTTATTTGTTATTCATTTTAAATCCATCTCTGTGATGAAAGAACAATATTTTTTCAATTTCAATATTTCGAAAGAACAAACACAGCGAAGCCTCATCACACATTTTTTCAATGCATCGAATTTATTCGCAATGACAACGCGTTTACACGACAACCAAGTCATTTTACGTTAAGTACCAAATTCATACATTTGAAAATAGTCTCGAACAAAATGATGAAACCGTTAACGACGAGACTGCGGAAAATCAACTACAAGCATATATGTGTATGGATTGAAGGCATGTACCGCAGAAAATAAAAAAAATCGTTTTCTACTCGATGCATGACGCAAACATTTTCCAAAACGGCAGTGACAACAACACGCACATTTAACAACCGAAAATGATCATTTGCCCATACATGAACTTTTTGGTTCTAGAAATGACTTGCATGTTTTTTTTCTCGTGATTTTGGTAACCGTAGCGCCGCATCTGACTCATATCATTTCCGGTGAATTTCATTTTGTGAACCAATGTGTTTAAATGTTTTTTTTCTGTTCGGAATTTCTTCCCACCAAAGAAAAAAATGCTACAATAGTGAAAGTTAATTTTTCATGATGTATTTATTATGTAGGTCTTCGTGTTCACCGATTTTATCTGTTCATATAGTTTTTTTATTGCATAATTTTTTTCCAGCATTATTTCGTTATATTTTGGCGAATAAAATTGCATTTCAAAGTCATAAAAATAAATTGGTTGGAAATATTAATTTCTGTGTGTGTGTGTGTGTATGTGTGATTGTTTGTCGACAAACATTGCTACAAACAAAGTGGAAGTTTGTATGAATAAAAAATTTTTTTGCGCTATCTGTTCGGCCCAATGTAAATGTAATCTGACACATTTAAAAGATAAAATGTGGGACAAATGACTGTATCATGTCCGGTATTGTTCAATGTTCAAATGAGTTAAAATACCGTTACATGATTGGAAAACATAATTTCATTCCCTAGCGAATAGCAAGAAATGTTTTTGTTTCGATTTCAATATCAATTTATTTATTGGATTCCATACATTGACTCATTCAATTCGATTTTCATTCAAATCCATTTCAACTCCAACAACTGAACCACTCGGAAATACAAACGAATTAGAAAATCATCATATTTATTGTGTCCAACTTCCAGTGTTCGTATCAGTGTTCACACAGAAAAGAATCCCCGGAAATTTTAGGTGTTCGCCGTAAAATTTGACATTTATATATAAATTTCTATGTACATTTTACCGGCAACACTTGAATTTTCCGGGCGATGACATAATTTCAAATATTTCAACAGAAATTAGCGCCATCTGTCACTTCAAGCGGTAAAATATATATAGTATTTGATAAAATGTTCGAAAATATGTCATCGCCCGGAAAATTGAAGTGTTGCCGGTAAAATGTATATAGAAATTTATATATAAATGTCAAATTTTACGGCGAACACCCAAAATTTCCGGGGATTCTTTTCTGTGTGTATGCAACTAGAAAATTTGCTACCGAATATCTGCCGATATTGCTGGCGAATGTTTTCAACCAATATGTTCCCTGCACAAATATTTTACGCAGAATATTCCACATGAGGATGAGTTGTTTGTTGAAACTTGTTGTATATTCCATTAGGAATTTTGATTAGGTTTCCTTTTTAACGCAATTCAAGCAACGTCACAGAAGATTTAGTCGGCAACACTTTTTCCATGGATCAGTCGCTGTTCATGTATAGAATGAAGATTGATCGTTTTGAACTAATTTTTTTAAACAATATGATTTGATAAACACATTCGTTCTGGTTTTCATTGTAAATCTGTAGGTGAGTTCAAGGGCAGGTAAAACATTATTTTTCATTCAATTTTGATGCAATTGATTCAATATATTTTGATTAATTATCGACACAAAATTGATTTATTTTCAACATGTATGATGGATTAATGGCGTACTAAAAGCTATTTACGCGACGATTTATCTATACAATCGTTAACAATTATTAGTTATTCATTATTCGTCATTCATATCTTATCAAAAATTGATTTCCTATTTTTTTCCGAAGCGATATCGCATTTGATTTAATCGGTGACACTTTTCTTAGGTAGCTGTCACTTCCTATTTTGATGTATTGAATAAAGATTGCGCATATCGATCCAAAATCATCTGAATAGATGCAGTCATGCATTTTCGATTACAAATTAATGTAAATTTATAGGTGAGTTCAAGGGTAAGTTATTCGTTGTTTTACGTAAAATTTCTGACAGGAGTGTCGCCATACAAACATCTTTGTTTTTCGTAAGTGTTAATATACGTCTTGTCAATGAACTCAAGAGCACAATGAATTCAATTATCAACAGTGTAAATTGTTTTCAATCTTTATTACTTGCTGTCTTGCTTGGCATTCCATGTATTTGTGTCATATTTTTTCTATGAGATATGTAATATAGTTAAACGGAGATGTTGAATATTCTCCGGAATTTACTTCAGCTTTTTAAAATTTCGCAATAAATTCAGAGATTTGTTATGAATTTTTAGGTATGCCGAATTCTGATAGTAAGTGTGTAAAGCGTGTAAATCTTTGTAGTCTTCGACTGCAACAATAAGCTGGAAGTGTCACGATCCGACAGCAAAACCAAAAATACATTGATTCATATGGACACTGAATGTACAGAATGTGACAAGAGCGAAACTAGTGAAAATATTCATGAACTAACATGTAATCACAAAGTTTCCATCTTAATTGCATTGAAAAACACAACAACAACGCCTGAAAGTAGTCAAAATTGCAAGTTTCAATCATTTAAACATGAATAAACATGTAAAGCACGTACACATTTCTGTGACGTAAAAAGTCTCATGCTATCGGATCGTGGGAAGTGTCGAACAAATCACCGTATATTTCCACTGCCTAAAAAACACACACGGAATAACACCAAATTAATCGAGGCACGATCTAATTTGTTTCCTTTTTAAAGCACAAACATTCGCTCTAATTTAAACTGCGGTCAACTGATAGTGCATGATTTATTTTGGCATATTCACACATTAGATATGCATAAAATACCTCCTTTTACATTGTCGGAAGTACGTGATATTCATATCATAGTAAGTTGTTATACATTAAAATCCATATGCAAATAAACATCGATTCAGTTGAATTTCATTTCAATGACATCCGATTTTACAGAATCGTTGTTATAAAGATAAAATTGAACAATTTTACATTGTCGTCCTGAAAATAGTTTCCCAGCGGCTTATAAATTCCATAAAGATTAATTTTTAGAGTGTCTATTGACGAAAATATCATTTTATTAAGAATATTATTCCGATAGTTATTTGCAACATGAATCAATTGATGAACATTTCCAGTTTTGCTTAAATATTTGACTTCACATATTTTTAGATGCGTAAAAGAATGAATTCATAATTAGCATACAGGTGAAAATCAAGTGTGGTGTTGCACATTTTGATGAATTATCAGCTTTTGCTGAAAAAGAATTTATTTGCCGTAGCAATATAAAAATACACATGAACAATGATTTAAACGGGATCATTTTTATAAGAAGAGTAAATGGAACGTGTAGCAAATGTTCGTGCGACGACTTTCTTCAAATATATTTTTGCACGATTTTCAATTGGCGATTCGAATAATTTCGTAAATTTTTTATTCATATTAATTATCATTAATTTGATTGGCTGAAGATTGAAAGATCGTTTGTTTTGATTGCGTGTCTCGTCGAACAATTAACATTCCTTATTTGAAAACAGGATAACTTGCATCAGATCAAGAGTATAACAGTAGGATCTGGATCTTGTACAAAATCATTTATGAAAATAGAAAATAAAATCGAATTGTTCTAAAAAAATTGAGATGAAATATCAATAAATGACATGCAAACAAATGGAATAGGCAGCGCATCATTTATGTAATGAAGAAATGGTTAGCAATTAGCGGGCAAAAATGAGCTGAGCAGAAAAAAATTGAAATTTCAAGTGAATAAATGAAATATTGAGTTGGTTAACCTGAAAACGCAATGAATTTGTGTATTGCGTGGGCTATTTATTCATTTACTAGGCCACTGATAAATATCATGCGTTATGCTTTGCTCTTTTTATTTTCGTCTGTATTTGCGACCAAATGGGCAAAACAAATAGAATAAGTACAATTCAGTTAGAAAACCGGTTAGCGTTAAACCCGAATCCGAATGCGATGTGTTGTGCTTGTGACTTGTCTGTGTGTTGATTCCCCATACTCTTTCGTATCCATTCTTCTTTCTCTTTGATTTTATTTATATATGTTTGCTTTTGCATTTCATCAATTCTCGAAAGCACGGCCAACATTTTTGCTTTTGTCTAGACCAAATGTAAACCGAATCTATTTCTACTGGCTTGTGAGCTCCGAACCAAACAAACTGAGAAACAGTCACACTGGTAAAATTGCGGTCCGCGTTCGTCTCGTTCGTTTTGTTTACGATTTTCATTTATCGGTCGCCGTACTATTTGAACACAAAACAAAAAATACCGAAGCCGTTTTGGATCATAGGATCCCATTGAATGCATTGAAAGATTTGTGTATGTGCCACTATTGCACTGCATTGGTTTAGGTGCACCGTGTATGCATGTCACTCAAGTGCAGGCCCACACCGTGTCGAAGAGTATTCATCGCATTCAAAGATGAAAATTAATTGTCGCGTCTCGTCCAATTTTTGCCAAGCCATTCCATTCCGTCCATCCGTTTGGAGCAGCGGTTAAGTTTGCATTTGTTGCTTTTGCATGACCAATGGAGAAATAAAAAACAACCAAAAAATAGTGAAACGAATCTCTGTGAGTCACAACACCACTATCAAACGTTTCGATTCGTTACATGTTGTTCATTGCTATTATTATTAAGCGGCTCCAAAAAGAACTGAGCAAAAATAGTAGGTTAATACAGGGTGGGATTGCCAACAAAACGTTCATTGATTGAGATAATGGCAAATTTTATGGCAAATTTCATTTAGCGTAATTTGTGATGCTCATTGAGCGGAACAGTGCACATGTTGTTCACCCTGTTTCAGCGGTGGAGGCGGCAGAGGCATCATCTGACCAAAAAGTGAATGAAAACGAGCGAACCGCGTTTCATTAAAAAAAAACACACACACACACATTTTGCACTATAAAGTCGGCTAGAAAGGTAAAACAATGGGCCAAATCCGTGAAAAATAATGAATTTCATCTATACACCATCAGAATGAAAGAAACAAGGAGACAGAGATAGACAGCAAAAAAGGCCCTGAATATGGACAGAGGGAGATAGAGAAGAGAAGAGAAAAGGCATCGAAATGGAAAAAAAATCATTTACATGCAATGCGATTATATTCGATGGTATTATTTGTGTGTGTTTTTTTTTCGGTTGGCTATTATTGTTGTGTATTTTCGCTCATTTTCTTCTCTTATTTTCTCGTTAAATTTACGCGATGGAGCACCAGTCGTTGCCGCCGCCGTGGCCGACGAGACTCACGAAAGGTTACACGATCGGAACAATATTTTCATGATGTAGTCCATATTTGCATCGCAAATGAAACGAGCTCTATGATTAAATGCAGTTTTAATCAAAAACCATCGCTTTTCTGCTATCTACGAATCGCTTTGCTTTTCGTCTAATGATGTTTGTTTATTGTTGTTATGCCTTTGCTCAAATTCGTCTTATCATGCGGGGCAAGTCGATGCTACTGCTTCTACTTTTGTTGATGCTGCAGCTGCTGCAAACTAAATTGAATAATGTAATTAGTAAATGCGGAATGGTAAGTTCTTAACTTATGTAGAAATTCATCGGTATGGACGCGCAAACACATAAAACGAAAACCCATACACACACACACGCGCGTAGAAAAAAATGAAACAATATTCAGCGAAATTGTATGTGTGTGCATGTGCATTGCATGGAATTTTGTGTTCGACATGCAACAATAGCGAGTTAGACTGGAAGACACTTAATTCAAAAGGTGCATTATTCAACCGATGCAAATGTGCACAATGTGCCGCTGCTGTGTATTTGATTATATACCGTTCAACCGAAACGAAGCATCTCAACAAACGAAATAATCGAATCGCTCACCATCTCGCTCTCTATGTCCATCGGTCGATACCTCGCTAAATTTCATTCAAATCAAGGTGTTATTTCGAATGAAATTGAAAATGCTTTAATTCAATTCCGCATTCGTTTGCAACGAAACCATTTTACTATATTCCAAAATTTCCAAGTGAAAGCCATCAGAACGAATGTTAACATTGTTGATTCCAATGTATCGCCTCAATTCGATACAATTTCCAGTGAGATTTTTAATTTTTTTTTGTTAATCTTATTGTTCGCTGTCGCTGACACGAGATGTTGTTTTTCTTTTCTCCTCTGTGCTTTTTTTGTTGCTGCATGGAAATTTAATTACGACAATTCAATATTGGCGAGCGTTTCATTCTATTTGGCTGCTTTCGAAAGAGATGTCTTGTCCCATTCTATCTTTCCCTCTCGGTCAATCGCTCGCTCAATCGCTTACTGCTTCGTGAGCTCTTCTGTCTTTCACCACATTTCCGATGTGGAGTGTATCGTGTGTCGAACACATATTGACCATAGCGGTGCCATTCATAGAATTGCTGAGAAACCACACAATAATATGAAGAAATGCAGCAAACAAAAAAAATAAGGGTCCAGTTAAAGAGCGAGAAAAGGCTGTAATCAAAAACCGAAATCCGTACGCAAACAGAGCGAACGAGCGACCAATGAATGAGCGTCACAGAGTGAGCGAGCGAGCAAATGAATGGAAAATCATCTACATATATCGAAAAGAATGGTAGACAATATTAAAGACCATCATTCAACAACAGCAGCAGCAACAGCAGCAAAAAAAAATAAACACCGAAACATTACGTAAAAAAATGTAAGCTCTTTGACTGCCGCTTGTTCCGTTCACGTTCCAAAAGAAATGTTACGGCTCGAATACATGCATTGGCTTTTGTGCTTCACTTCGTGTGTGTACTTTATTTTTCTGCTTCATTCCTCTACTACTTCTTCTTATTTTTTCTTCTTTTTTTTCTTCTTCATCATCATCATCTTTTGGCTTCTGTGAAAATATTGCCATTAGCCCAAAGGCAAGCATTGTAAAGCGCTGGATTGTGAGTCATTCTGTGCGTTCAACTGTGCCTCAATTTTATGTGGCCCGCGCCGTATCGATGTATTTGTGCGTTAATGTGCCTGTGCATTTGATACGACAGGCGGGTGTGTTATATGTACATTGTACACATTCATATCATACATATGGGTGTGTGTGAGTGAATCTGTGTGAATGTAGGAAACGTAGCGTTATTTTGACGTTTCTGCTTGCAAGAGCTTTATGACTTTTTACACAACACGCAATATCAGCTGGCTGAACACATCGTCATTTTAGTGAGTTTTATTTCTCGTCGTTCAAAATTTATTCTGAACAAACAACAAAAGAGCGAAAACAACAACAACAATAACAAACAAACAAACAAAAATATAATAGATGAAATATAAATTTTTAAATCGAAAAGCAGAAGAAGAACATTTAATTGGGAATTTCCATTTGGTGGTGATTTTGTGTTGGCATTGCTTTCAAACGCAATTTTGAGTTAACTTAAGTTATTGAGTTCGTCAATTCTGTATGTGAACAGCTAATAAACTGTGTGTTGTATTGGAGCTGTAGTGTGTGGTTCGTTTTAATTTTGTTGCTATTCATTTTCGGTGAAAAGAACCAAACCAATTTTCGTGTGATTGCCTTTACACAATTACCCAGAGTGTAGCACACAGCTGTTTTCGTCCACCGTATATTATTGTGACTTTGGATGGTTGTTGTTTTGCTTCCATTCAATCACAATCCATCGATTCACCCAAATTATATATCGAAATCGTTTGCCAAACGATTCAATACACTAAGCCAGCCAGCCAGTAAGCAAGAACGAAACACTCAAATTCCATCGCTATTTTTCTATAGTGTGCAGTATAAGTGTTTAACATCGTGTAAGTCCATTAGTAAACAAACCCAAAGAGGTGCTTTTTTCCCTTCATTTCAGTTCGTTTTTGTGCATATATACCGTGTTCCATTTACCATCGTCATTTAGTAGCAAAAGAAAAAAATAGAAGAAGAAACGATGAAGTTGAAACTGCGAAACTAACTCGCGTTTACCACAAGTTTAGAGTGAGAAGCGAATAGAAAAAAATATTATTAATAATCTGTGTGAAAAGAGAGGAGCGCGCACGAGAGACCAAGAAGAAGATGAAGAGACTAAAAAACAAAACAGAATTATGTGTCTTAAACGTGTGGCTAAAGAAACAAGTTCTATGAAATCAAATTAACATGACATGACATAATCCCAGAAGCAAGAACATTCTTTCTCGGGAAAATAAAGTAGCATTTGGTTTTTGTGTATGTAATTGCTTTCAATGTACTCGGTGTTCTTTTTTTATCTTCGTCTTAAGATTTCGTGTGTGCTTCTACCATTTTTGGATTCATAAAATAGCGCAAAGTCGTCACAATTTTTTATTTTCTTTTTTTTTCTGGATTCAAGTTTTTTTTCTTATGTATTTTCGACTACGCAGAATTGGATTCGGTATAACTTTTTTGTGGCTAGTTTTATTTTTTTTATTTTTGGTTCGCCACATCTCTGCCTCTAGATCTTTGTGAAGTGATTGTCCAGAGGAAAGAAAGTTAGAAATATTGTGCGCGGAGCACATGTGAGTAAAAGAGTTGAAGAGTTGTGTAAATTGAATTTGTTAGAAATGGAGAGACATCGGTGGTGTTCTTGTTTCCAGATTATTGGCTAATTGTCCTGGTCAATGAACGATTAATAGTGAAGGAGAAATAGATACAAACACACACACACAAAAAAGAGAATACGTTCTAAATTAATTCTATTCAATTCTATGTGTAATAAATTTGTTGGTTCTGCGTGTTGAATTGTGTTGTGATCGCGCGCGGGCGTTCATTCTTACCCGCAGATTTTTCGACCGAATATAAATTGAATGAAATAAAATTGAAATGAAATAAAACCGAAACACCGAACCAAACCAAAAAAACCTTCAACACAAAAACATACAAAAAAGTGGTGACTTATTTAATTGCTAACGATCGTCAATGATTTGAAGGAAGAGAAATCACCATAAAACATCACTAACTAATATATACATATGTATGATTGATAATAACATTTTGAGCTAATTGGTTTGTTTTGTTTTGCATTTTTTCCAGAGATATTCCATAAACGTGAGCATTTTAAATAGAGAAACAAAACACAAACCACAAGCAATAAACAACCACATTTCGAGTGTTTCTTTTTTTTAACTCTCTCGATACAAATACCGATGATAAATCTTCGAAAAAGAAAGAGACAAAGATAAAAAGAAACAGAATAAAAACGAAGCAAAGGAAAAGGAGACATTCGGCGACAAAACGCACACATTTGGCTATTTTGCGAATCAGCAAACAGCAACACCAAAACCGTAACCGTAACAATCACAACGCAAATCAAATAAGAAATGGCATCAGAAAGATCAATTCCACACCTACGCGATATATTCGGCATAAAAGGTTATAATTCGCATATGCAAAATGATTGCGGCGGTGTGACTAATGTCGATCCATACAGTAATCCACATATGCCAATGAATGACAGTAAAAAACATTCGCGAAACAATAAAAAGCACGACAACAACCATAGGCCAATGACAAATGGTGATGTGAAAATGTTAGAACGTCATTTAAGTATGAAAAAAACAATACGAAAGAAAATTATGCGCGATTTACAGCAGGCATTTGTCGATGATCCAAATGAATTTCAAGTGGAAAACACAAATGCGGAACACATGAAGGCCGAACTAAAAGCCGAAGCTATACGCTTCGGCGAGAATCCAAGCAAAAAGTCCGACAATTTTTTAGTAATGTTGCGTGGCGGTGATCAACACCAAGGACGATACGATTCATATAATAATGCACAACAAAGAGAATATGACTATGATTCGCCTGCAATATCGGCACGTGATGAAAAGCAAAGCTTCTGGAAACGTTTCACAATGAAAACCAAATCGAAGCGCTGAGTGTGTGTGCGTGCGTGTGACCGCTGACCATGCGACTAAACGAACGATCATTCGACCACCACCGATGCCACCAGCCTCCGTCATCGTTGCCAAACACCGACCTCATCATCACCGATTACAAACGAAACAATTAAAAATTATTTAATAAAAAAAAGAAAAGGAAAAAAAGACGAAATACGCAAAAATTATGCACAAAAAATAGAGAAAGAGAGCGACGAAACGAAAGAGCGAAGAAGAAACAAAATGAAACAAATTAAAAATGAAAATGAATATGAAATTATGATAAACGAATAGAAATGAGATATATGATGCTGCAATCGATCGTGAGCGTGAGAGACATAGACGAATGGTATATACATTGAAAGTCCTTAACTTAATTGAAATTCAACGGAATCCACCGGCCAAAATAGCAACAACAAAACCAACAAACAAACACAGAAAGCACAGAATCAACCCACATTTACAATGAACTTAATGAACTTAATCTGAATACATGCGATAACAAACGAAAACCTATTCATTTTTTCGATGTTGTTGCTGACTGTTTTTTTTTAATAGATTAATTATAAAAATTATGTAAAATGCAACAGTTCAAAGCTAACCAGTTCAAAAAGATATCATAGATTATAAGTCGAATAATAGCAACAGCAACTACAATAAAAATCGATGCAATGTAAATGATCACTTTTGAAAAAATATTTTGTAAGCATATTCGTTTTTTTTTCTATCGCTAATTTGAAAAATAACCAGAAATTTACAACAACAACAACTACAATACTACGGCAGCAACATAAAACTAATGAAACATTACGTTGAAAGAACAAAAACATAGACAACAAGAAAAGAAGACAAAAGAAAAATAAATAATAATAACGAAAAAATATTGTTGCGTGCAATACGATTTTGAGCAAGCGCAAAACCAAAAAAAAAACAATTCCATTGAATGTGAATCGTTTTGAACAGAGAGTGAGTGAGAGAGTAAAGGAAGCTTAGTTATGCTGAAAGTATTAACTACTTCGACTTTTTTTGCAAGTGAAACAAATTTATTATTGCATTGTACTTTACATGTTTTTATATGAATATAATTTGATCTGATGACTTTTTTTTTAGGCGTTCAGACGAAAATGTAAGACTTCTTATGTTTTTAATTGCATTATTATTATATTTTTTGTAAATTTTTTGTTTCTTCGATTTTCCTCATAAAATAATTAGTCACAAAAGAAGAAGCATAGCGAACCATCATCAAACATAACGAAATGATTGTTATTCCTGGCAATGATTTTGTTTGTTTGTTTGATGAGGTCCAATTGTTTCTCAAGGCATTAAAAATGCTAAGAAATTTAATTTGATATTAGGTTACAATTCTGAACGATAACGATCTTTTTCTTTCTTTTTTATTTAAACGAAAATTGTGAAATGCTCTTCCAAAAAAAAAATTAAAACAAATTCAAGGTGAAAAAAACTGCAATACTGCATTTGCAGAAGGAAAATCGACCGAGAAGAGGGACAAAGAGAGTATTAAACGTAATATATATATTATTCCAATCAAAAAACAGAAGAAACAAAACATTCATTTTATTTACACTCTTATTATTTACATTCTTTTTTGACGTTATACTATATTTGTACTGGGTAAGAGACAAAAAAATAAGAGAAAAAACACACACAATATTGTTATATCAATAAATTTATTTATAATAATTATTTAAAAACATAAAAAAAAACAAGAAACAACTGGTTTAGAGAAATAAAAAAAAACTATTATAAACGATGAATTCTAATGCGAATCGATAGTGTGATGAAAAATGTTGTGCGTTTTATTTGATCGATGATGAGATTTGTTCATTCATTTGTTCTTTTTAGACATTTGAAAGGCATTAATTATTTCTTAGAGATGGACAGGTTCGCTAATTTTGAATGGATCATTCATAATGTAAGTATTCTAAGTGAAGTGACGACCCAACAAAGTGCCAACAACGAAAGAGAAGAAAATGAAGAAGATGTAACAGTTTTAAAAAGCATAGGCATGAATGTAAGAATTCGAATCTATTGTGTGCACAAGCACATTCAGCTATTTAATGCTTTTTTATTTACATAGATTGTTCTTTTCTGATGACATCAAACAAAAAGAATACATTCATGTATCGCGCACAACAGTAGGTACGTCACGGTGTGAGTTCTTGCGGATTTTTTGTTTCGCTATGTATTGTTGTTGTTGTTGTGTCTATATTTTCTCTTCTCCAATCAATTCAAAACATCAGCTTCATTTGCACGGTTTAAATGTTTACATTCAAACCATTCGATTATATTGCAGCAAAATACAAATTATTTCTGCTCATTTCACATAAACATTCTAACGTTGGACGAATGGTTTTCCGTTTGAAACAGTTGGTAACAATGTGAAATACCGTTTACATATACTTACACACACATGCCAACGCATGGGCTGGTGTGTCTATCTTTCTCTCTGTGCATGTATGTACGTATGTATGAAATGTCAAATGAAAATTGTATAATTCAGTAAGACATTTCATGTTGCTTTCGACAGAGAGAAAGAAAACAAAGTCAGACTGGGCAAGACAGTAGAAAAAAAAATCTCACTCACATCACTAACAGAAAGGAGAAAAAAAACAGTACATATTCACGTCGATTGATTGCAATCGATTGCGAATTTGTTAATGTGCAATTTGTGTTTTTTGTAAATTTTTCGTTATTTCGTTTGTTAAATGGGTACGTCGTTGAGTCGTCAAAATGCTGCGGTTGAGGAAGCAGATGTGACTTTAAATCATCCGTACAAGTATCCACCAAGAACGGGTAAATATATGTTTCGATATGGGTCTTAATTGGGTTGTGCTCGTTTATTAACTACTTCTACATTGGACAATACTTTGTTTGTTGTTCCATGCACGGACCACATACACACTGACCCAACAAATTAAATCAATCGACACACGATTTATGAACACACATTGATGTGTTTCTCCTCTCTTTTTTTATCATTCATTGATCTGTTTAATTTAGGTACATATTTTGGCACTCATTTCATTATGGGTGGTGAACGGTTTGATACACCACAGCCCGAAGCATATTTATTTGGTGAAAATGGTGATTTGAATTTTTTAGGTAGTCGACCAACTGCGGTAAGTAAATACCAAATATTTATATAAAAAAAACTGCAGTCCTCGATCATCCGATCGATTTGATAATTCTTTCAGTTTCCGTATCCGCCGCCACAAGCTAATGAGCCAACGAAAACACTGAAGAGTTTGATCAATATACGGAAAGAATCGGTACGTTTTGTCAAAGTGGCGGATAATTCGCTGAAGAATAGCAATGAACCAACCAATGACCACAACAATCTAGTTAATATTGAGTTTGTGTTTGATTCGGATGCAAAATGTGCCATTCAAATTTTCTATTTTTGCACTGAAGAGGTCACGGCTACCGGATTGACGTAAGTTTTTTCTCCTGTCTTTCCATTTCATATGGTATTTTGATTTTCGATGTAATAAACTCTATGATTTTGTAGGTATGTGCCACGCGATCCCAAAATGACGTCCGAAGTGTACCATTGCAAGCGTGGTGTGAACCAAACATTTTTACAAACATCGCACGTTTTCAATCCAAGTCTGTATACCAATGATCTATGTTATAGCTCTGATCGTGATATATATCCGGTTGTAATTAATTGTGTGGCCGACGAAGGACCGGAGGACAGTAAACAGTCACACACCACTATCTGTGTAGTTGATCATCACTCGGATGGAACATATGGTTTACGTGCATTGAAACAGAAAATTTTCGTCGACGGACTCTGTTATTTGCTACAGGAAATTTATGGCATCGAAAATAAGTACAACAACAAGGTAGGTATAGGAAGGGGATGTTGCTGTTAGTGGAATTGAGAATAAAGTGGATCAAATTTTGTGCTGTTCAAGTCGTATTTTGGTTGTGGTTTTTTGATGTCATTTTTTTAACACTGACTTCCATATGGAATGGAAAGCAAAAATCCAAATGATGATGATTACTACGACGATTTGGTTAATTCGCAAAGAAAACTAACCGAAATAAAATCCTTTTATAGCAGGTGAATATTGATGATGACAATGAGGATAATTCGGGTGAATGTGTCATTTGTATGAGTGACACACGGGATACGTTAATACTCCCATGTCGACATCTATGTTTGTGCAATTCGTGTGCCGATTCACTGCGCTATCAGGCCAACAATTGTCCAATATGTCGGGCACCCTTCCGTGCACTATTGCAAATTCGTGCCGTTCAGAAGAGTTCGAGTGGTGCGCACACAAATATTACAACGCCACAGCAGCAAGCATTACAAGATACAAATGCCGAAAATGTTCCGCCCGGCTATATAGCCGTTTCACTGATTGAAGCATTGAATGGACCCACCCCAAATTCAACATCAATCAAAAGCCAATTGGATATGGTGGGCACTGATCCGCACAACGAAACGGATTCCATTAAAAGTGCTGCCGAAGCCTTGAATCGATGTGATGACTCAATAAATGACAAAGCACGTGCTGCAAAAGACAAAAACATTACACCCGAAGTAAGGCACCGCCACCGAATAGTTCATTTTTATTTTCTCTTTTTTATGTTGCCAATTGGTTTTTTTATTATTCAATTTAATTTATAATCAAATTGATATATAAAAACGTTTGAACGAATTTCACAGATAAAAATGTCGGTTCTGTTGCCAAAGGAAGACAATAATAATGGAAAAGTGTCAAATAGTCTTCGTGAGAAAGCGCAACGTCAGAAGAGCAGCGGTCAGACGGCAAAGCAACAGAATCGTGATAGCCTGCATTTGGTAAATGAGAAAAATGCAACTAATTTACAGCCAACTGAACAAGATGATGACAGTGAAACGGAAAATTTGTCGCCGCTTCTTTATCACAAGAATAAAAAGTCTCAAATGAAACACGGTAAAAGGACAGTGAACGCATCAACGGCAGCCGCCGTAACAGCCACGACACAATTCCAAACATCACAGCCGCAAACAGCACTGCACATTGACGGGGTGAACGAGTCGATTGACGATACCGACACAGACATAGAGGAACGTGAAATCGAAGTAAGCACTTTTCTTTCCATTTAATTCACGGTTAGATGTAAAATAATAGAAAAATTGTTTTGATCCAACAAATGATATTCTTTATTGAGTTACACTCAGATGTACATTTCGGAAGCAATGCTTCCATCCTCAGTGAGTTTGAAAAATCAACTAGCGTTTACTCAAAAATTCATGTGACATAAAAAGCAATTGATATAAAATTGAAAAGTTATGAATTTGACTATGTTTCCAAAGGTGACTGAAATTATTTCAACTACAAAAAATCTTTAAATATTGGCTCTTTAATCGGCCCATCATCACCATTCAATAAATTGTCTCTATTTTTATGAATTAAAATTGCTTCATTGGCATCTAATTCGCTGCTTTTGTTTACGCTTCTTATTAACTTGAAACTATTTAAACGGATTGTATGGCCAGTTTCTAGTATATGTTGTGCTACGCTTGATTTTAAAGGCTCATTATTTTTTATATGATTACAATGTTCTTTGT